CACATGTGAGTTGAAATATTTTGATTTCAATCGCGCGTTTTCATGTAATAAACCAAAATAACCTAGCTTCCATTAGGCTTATTAAGATTTCTACCTGATTCTCATTTGTTGTTTTGGACCTAAAATTAAAGGTTTAAACGTTTTATTACATCAAATTTCCTTTAAATTGTAATTAACTTACAGCTAAATTAATAGAAATCGTACATATTCTAGCAACTTTACAAAAATGGAAACAAAATCATGGCATAATGACAATCGTAAGCGAGCATACATATGTTTGCAAACAAATTTTTAACACAAAAAGATTTTTCCCAATATGCGCTCAAATAAGGCGCATTAAAAAGGGAAATCAAATTTCGTTAAGTTTCGGTGTCAAACAGTCAGAAAGAAAAGTTCTTTATGCTCCTTTAGTTCACGAGATCAGTGTATATTTAAACTACCACATAGTTCATGAAACTTCATTTTTTATTTTTGCTTTCGTTTGACAAGAATTGTATAGAAACTTATGCAAAACGAAGAAAAATTTAACATAAACAGTCAGGACAAAATTTTTAAATTTTTCTTGAATCTTAGCGAAGCGGTAGCGCTGGACACAGCTGCAAATTAGAAAATAAGAACAAGAATGTTATCGTCGCTGGGACGAAAATATTTGAATTTATAGAAAACAGGAAAAATTCGACCGTCGAGCAGAAACATTGATTTTTTTAATTTAAATCAGCATCCCTGCAAAAAAATGTGTATGCATTAAATACTCCGATAAAAATTTGGTATTTTTTTCAAGAAAAAACGCGATTTTTCTTGGATTTTGGTGCTTTTTCAATTTCAAAACTTGGCAACACTGGTGGTTCGCGGGCTGGTCAAATTTCAACCGATTGGTTGCGGTTTAGTTCTCGCTCGCCTTCAATTTTTCGTTTCACTGATCTGGCAATGTGGTCTCGCACTGCAGCTAATTTATTGCAATCTCAAAAAAAAAATGTTTTTCTTGTGCAGTGGAAGCAACAACAATTGGTGACCAGGGATCATATGATTGTCTGCTAACAGCGCCCTAACAAATGTTCAGTTATTGAAAAGCCAAAAAAAAAAAGAAATTAAAATGCCTTTAGAGTGGAGTCGCGAAAATAGCAAAAAATTAATAAATTTGTTAGTACAGCAAGAATGCCTGTGGGACGTAAGTAGTCCTACCTACCATGACCGCGTAAAGAGGGAAAATGCATTTAAATCAATTCTAAACAAAATGAAGCAGAATTTGGATAATATAAGGATTTCGGACATCAAAAATAAGATACTAAGCTTAAGATCTCAGTATAGAAAAGAATTGCGGGCTATAAATGCTAGCCGGCGGAGTGGAGTTGGAAATGAAGACATTAGACATCCGAAATTATGGTGCTTTGATGAGTTGGATTTTCTGCGTCCTTCAATTTATAAAAGGCAAAGCACTTACAATATTCCTAAAAGAAAAAAACCTGTGAGTAAAGAATTGAATACACTGTCAAATTCAAACGAAATATTTATTTCATTACTAGGAAACCCATAAAATAACTTATGAAAGCAATGAGGAGGATGACGAAAGTTTTTCGGTGAGTGGTTAACAAACAATAATAATAAGTAATACTAGGCGTATTTAAGCATACATATTAGTTGCGTTCCTTATCTCCCAGAAATAGTCAGAAAAAGTCCGAAGTAGTCAGATTTAGTTCAAAAAGCGTTCCTTAACCACGATCCAGAAAATAAAGGTCGCGCCATTCTCTTCGTCGATTTGACAGCATCCTCCCAATCGCTGACGTCATAATATATCCCTGCAGGGAAAGCTACTAGTTGTGAACTAGAATTCTACCAGTTTGCGTTTCAGCCCAACTAGTTCACGTTCTATCCTTTTTCAATGTTAGCGACTGGTATTTTTAACATTGCGATGTCCTACGAGATGTCAATTGTCAGGCTATGCATCAGCATCTACTAGTAGAAATACTAGTAGCATCATACCAGTTGATGAGATAGTCTGCCAATTCATGCCCCATGAAAAGCATTAGTTGTTGTTATAGCGGCTACTAAGCCCCGTTCGGGGCGGTTCATCCATCAACGTTGTCGTCTATTTCAGCTAGGGGGAGGCCCAGGAAGTGTGCTACTTCCAAAGGGGCTGTCCATAAAGACAGGGGCGTTAGCTGAGTGGGGTTCTCAGGGCATGTGAAGAGGTGCCGGGAGTCATGTGGCGACTCTCCACATGCCGGGCATTGGTTGGGCACATCCTCGTTGATTCTGCTCAGGTAGCTGTTGAGCCTGCTGCAATAGCCAGATCGAAGTTGGGCTATTGTGGTGCGGGTCTCCCGAGGCAGACAAAGTTCTGTCCTGTCCACGTCCGGTGGTTGTGTGCCTAGAACGGCATTCACAGGGCGGAAGTCTACATAACTTGAGACTGATTCCCTGTGAATGCCGTTCAGGGCCTGTCGGTAGGGTGGCGGGTCCAGAGGTTGTTTGATATATGTACCTCTGGACTTCGTCTGTCAGTTCGTAAAGATGCCTCCTGACGTGCCGTGGCCAGGGCTCTTCCGCGAGCAGTTGCCCGCTGGGATGGCCACGTCTGTGGCTCCCAGCGAGGAACTGCTTGCAGAGCATTATGTTATGCTCCTTTACTGGGAGCATCTGGGCCTCGTCATGAAGGTGGTGTTGAGGCGTCATCAGGAGGCATCCTGTCGCAGTTCGTAATGCCGTGTTTTGGCAGGTCTGTAGCTTCATCCACTGCGTCCTGCTTGCCACCGGTGACCATACGGGCGCTGCGTAGCTTAGAACCGGCAGGCCAATTGCCTTGTATGTTGCCAACAACGTTTCTTTATCTTTGCCCCAAGTGCTGCCGTTTACTTTCGAGTACAAGTCATCAATTTCATTCCCAGACGCCATGATCGAACAATCGTCAGCATACGAGACTATATTAACACCCTCTGGTGGCTGAGGAAGCTTTGATATGTAATAATTAAACAGTAGCGGGGACAGGACACCACCCTGTGGTATCCCCTGTTTAATTTTACGTGGCTTGCTAGTTTTGTCTCTAAAAATTACTGACGAGTGTCGACCACTCAGGTAATTCGCCGACCACCGTTTGAGACCCTGTGGGAGTGAGGAGGCCTCTATATCTTCTAGTAGCGTTGAATGACTGACAGTGTCGAACGCCTTGGACAGGTCCAACGCTACTGGAATAGTTCTCTTACAGGGGCGGTTTCGGTTTAGGCCACGAGTTATCTGAGTGTTTATGGCGTTAAGTGCTGTTGTTGTACTATGCACTTTACGGAACCCATGTTGATGTATTCCTTTTTGCTCGCGGCGCTCCAACAGTCGCAATGGCCGACAGAGCAAAGCACTCGCTTGGTATGGCTGAGGTACCAGGTTCAAGCCCGGGCGCAGGGAACATTTTATTTTATTTTTTTATAATATTTATTTTATTTATATTTTTTATTTAGGCTTTTTTTTGTTTTCTTAAATTTAATTTAAAAAAAAAATATTTTTTTTTTATCCATTTTTTTATGGCACAAGTATTTCCCATATATTTGCTTCTTTTTTTTTGTAATCCAACTAGATTTTTTAGTTTGTTATTTATATTTAAATCGAAATAATTATTCCTACTTACATTGATCTAACTGTAAAAATCTTAACCATCTCCATGCGGCCTCGAATCTGCGATCTCAGAACCAGAACCAGTAGTCTTCACGTGACGCCACAGCCGACATTTGTAAGAAAAGCAATTAATTGCGTTTTATTTTAGGCTTTGGCAATTCAAAGGCAGATGTCGCTGAACGCTTAAGTTCTTCGAAAATGTCAAACTAGTAGGCACATACTAGTTTATGAACTAGTATTTTTTCTAACTGGTTTGGGTTTTCACTGCAGGGATACTTTTGTTTACATTCACTGTTGCCAAATTGATGCTTTTCGCACCAAATTTAGTGGGTATTCAAAAAGCGAAAATTTTTGAGTTTTGTGCTTGGTGCGTTTTTGGTGCTTTTGTTCTTATTTTGAAGACTTCAAATTAGAAAATCTTAAAAACTGGAAGCAGAATTTATAGCAATCGTAAGTGTGCTAAGCAATTTTACAAAAATTTAAACAAAATCATGGCACAGTGACAATCATAAGCGACAACGAAATAGCACCTTCAATCATGCCAGAAGAAATCGCCCGTTGTGTAAGAAACATTGATTGTTATTAATTTGAATCGGCATCCTTATAATAAAATTATGTATTCATATATATATATATATTCTATCATTCTTGCTAACTAAGTACCTAACTAAGTAGTCCGAAACGTACAGACTCAGAAGCATAGAAATGTATATGCTTTCCATTTAATGCTCCAAGACACAATGGAAAATACCACTTCTTTCGAAACTCTTCGGAAATCAGCCGCCACTCTTGTGGGGAATTTGGAAACTAAAAAATGCATAATTTTTTATTTATAAAAAAATTACTTTTATAAAAAAATATATCATGCAATAACGGATTTTTTATTTTATCCTAGGAACCTAGCACATCAAGTAAAGCTTCATTACAACAATCAAAACGAGCAAGAACCGACATCGAAAAAGGATTTTCAAATCTAACTCAGGTGATAGAGAAGCAAAGTGAAAGGAAATATGAATGGCTTGGAGAACAAGTGGTTTCAATTTTGAATGAGATGGCGAATCAAGAGGTTATTGAAGAAGCTATTATGGTTATTCAAAGAAATATAATGGATTTTAAAATTAAAGATCGCACTTTTGGCCAACAGCCAAACGTGCAAGAACATTATGAAAAATTTGAGTAAACAAACCTGTGCAACCACATAACTTACTAGCGGAATCTTTTAGAGGCTTGATTGATGATTAAAGAAAAAGGAGCAAGTAAAGATTAACAGCCGTTGAAGTCGAAAAAAAGAAAAAGTGTACGTGTCCGCCGTTTTTGCTGATTTAATGGTATACTTTTTTTTTTTTGAGCAAATTAATATAGGTGCTGCTTATATTTCGAAAACTATTGAGCCGATTTTCGAAACATGAATATGGTTGGCAAGATAATTGAAAGACTTTTCATTTGATATGTATATCTATACATTTAACTATGGGCATATCACTAGAACTTTTGATTTTGGACATTTAAAAAAATAAGTCGTGGAACATTCATCTAACCGATTTCACCTTATATTTTAAAACTTAAAACATATGAAAAAAAATAATAATAGACAAAATATATTTTCAAGCTCGGTAATGTAAAAAAAGAATAAAAAAAACTAATTTTTAAGCAAAAAACAACCGGCTCGAATTCTCATATAAAAATTTAGAAGTTCCGTTAATTTTTTTATGATCCAATGATCGGATCTAAACCAAATAAGTATGGGACCTACCTTTCAGACAGAAAAAGAATTATCAAAATCGGTTGAAGTTATGCGACCTTTTTTTAAGCCGATTAAAAACATAAATAAATAACACAGAACTAAAAAAAATTATGAAAGGTTATTTTGACCACTCTAGGTGCCTATATGCTGAACAAGAATCTGAAGTCAGTTTTGATCCATCATGTCACAATTTTTTTCTAACCTCAATGGCGAACTTGGCGGATATACTTTTTTCTTGATATCCAGGGTTAATGAGATCGCTGTTTAAAATGACGGATCCAGTATGGCGGTCAAAAGTACCAAATATTATAAGAATTAAAAACGCATTCAACAGCGTCTATTGGGAAAAAAGTTAAAAACGTCGCTTTTAAATCACTTGGCACACTAAAAGTTTTGTAAATATTCATTTTAAATTTTTTATATCTATTAAAAGTCATATCACATTAAAGCCACTCTCGATGCTCACTGTACTCGCGGTGGAAGTGGACAACAAAAATCAGCTGTTTCGAATACGAGAAGAACGGTGGATAAGTAATAATAAAAAAAATACCAACAAAAAGCCGTAAATTTATTGCTTTTGCCGTTGTGCATTCATAAAATAATAACAAAGCAATAAAAATAAAAAAATGCATATGTGTGAGTGGAGAATTGAAGCGCGCATGTACAGAAAATTTCTATAAAGAGTGAAAAAGCAAGCGGAAAATCTGGAAACGAGAACGTCGACAGGAGTGTCGATATACAGACAGCCGTGGGAAATTGAAGTAGCGATAAGCGATAACCAAGTGCAAGGTGCGTCAAAGCTGAAAAGCGTAAGTTCATTAATAAAATTGTATTAGGTTCAAGTGGAAAAATCTAAACGTAATATGACGGAGAATAAAGGTAAACGCCAAGTATTGCCCAGTTTAGGTTTTAGAGTTGTCCGCTACATAGATAGCATCACCGGCGGCGTGGCACAGTTGTTGAAAATCAATAAAAGAGTATCAAAGTGCCGTGGCACGTGTTGGTACACCAGACAAACGGGAGGGCCATTGTCTTCACATCTATGTAGACACATACCCAATACGCACGCTTGTATCGTAGCGTCGTATGGAGCACGCGTGAGAGCGACAACAGCGGCTGATTAGACCCGGACTGGTTGGTTGACTCATTGAAAATTTGGAATATGAAATATGAAACGCACCGCTCCGCCTTTGCCGCTGTGTTCTCTGACAGTTGCTATTGGTACGCTCTGCTTTCGCGAACATGATCGTGAAGGGCAAATGAGCAAAATAAAACGAGATTTCTTATGTTTTTTTTTTTAATAAAAAAGTAATGCAAAAACTTTTTCCTATAGAAACGGTTTGCGGCAGCGTTGGTTGAAGTGTTGAAATTGGCGGCAGCAGTAGACGGTGGTAGTGTTAGCAGTCAGCAAACGGCTAGTAAGGAGGCTTATTCGTGATATTAGTGAACTGCTAGTGTAGAACACAAAAGCGTCAGGATTTCATTTGATAATTCCACATTTGGAAGGGTGCCAATTATACCGACAACACGGGTAACCAAGTGATTAGTAGCACCTTTAGACGACACACTAAAAACATGTACAAGCAAACATGTACGAATCTGCTGGAGCTACCGCCGGGGAAGGTCAAAGAATGGTTGGATGGCTTCGACGCTGTCATCACCGATTGCGATGGTAAGTGCAGGAGATGCTTAGGAAGTATAAGACTGTAGAGAATAGTGCAAATGTTTTGACCTTAAAGGTCACTTTTATTTTTCATTATCAATGTGTAGGAAATTTTTGCATGTAGTATATTTGTGGCTCTTATGAGTTTTATTCGGATTCTCACAAATAATGAGGTAACATTGCGTAATTCTTGACGGTGGCGGCTTTCCATACTTTTCACGACGTTGTGTGTTTGGTGGGGAAATTTCGCCCGCGATTCGGTGACGTGCAATCAGTTTGTACGTGTTTGCGAGGTTTATTCAAAGCAATAAGAACAACAAAATACAATGGAAAAATAACTAAATGAGTAATATGTGGCGTGCGAACAAATGGTCAAGGTGTCTACTCTAGGGCAATGACAATGTCACGACCGCAAATAAACATGCATGTGTATGTACTTATGTATGTACAGTATCGGTCATATCTATAGCACGCCATTTCAAAGTGATATTGTGTGCCACTTATGTTTATTTATTTATTTTTAAGAATTTTCAATTAAAATACAGTTCTTTCTCTAACAAACCCCATTTAAACCCAAGTTTAACAATTTGTAGAAAACTTCAAAAAAGTGCAACAAATTTTCACCCAAGTTTCAAACTTTTTTCTCGGAAGTGTTAGAATTTTTTCGAGTACACAGTTTTTTAGCCACTGCAATTTTAGTCTGATAATGTGCAAATGTCAATGGGCTTACCGTTAATTTTTTAGAATTTTTTTTGTCGCATTGGCTTCCATATAATGAATAAACTCAATTTATTTGTATATGGATGAAAACCGCAACACTTTTGGCGAAAAAAATTCTAAAAAATCAACGGTAACTTTTAGCAACTTGAAACTTGCACATTATCAGACTAAAATTGGTTGGGCTATAAAACTGTGTATTCAGAAAAATTCAAACACTTCTGAGAAAAAAGTTTGAAATTTAGGTGAAAATTTGTTGCACTTTTTTGAAGTTCTCTACAAATTGCTAAACTTGTTTTTATATGGGGTTTGTTAGAGAAAGAACTGTATTTTAATTGAAAATTCTCAAAAATAAATAAATAAACATAAGTTGCACACAATATCACTTTGAAATGGCGTGCTATAGATATGACCGATACTGTAGATAATAATTATAATAAATTCGAATTGATTACTCGTACAGAATTGAAAAACACTTTTCAAAAAACTCTTTTATCGAAGGCAAAAAGGAAACGGATTGAGCCAATTTTGTGTGCCTAAATTTCCCTTTTTGTACCCATACAAAATCCGCGAATTTGAAACATTTTGAAAATTTTTTCTGGCGTTCCTGTCCTTTTCTATTCCTTCTCGATTTTATTAATTTTTCAACACATTCCACTTCTAGGTGTCCTCTGGGTATATAGCAATGTCATTGAAGGCGCTGTCGACACAATGAATCGCTTCAAAACCATTGGCAAGAAGATATTCTTTTGCACCAATAATTCAACGAAAACCCGGCAGCAATTGCTGGAGAAATCGCATAGCATGGGTTTCGATATTACCGCCGAAGGAATGATCTCCTCAGCACATTCAACTGCTGCTTACTTAAAAGCGCGTGATTTTCAAAAGAAAGTGTATGTGATAGGAGCTGGCGGCATAACAGGCGAACTAGACGCCGTTGGCATCAAGCATAGCGACATAGGACCCGATGTAATGAACGGCACACTAGCCGAATATCTAGCGACAAGCTTTTGTAAAGATGCCGAAATTGGCGCCGTGGTTGTGGGCTTCGATGAGCATTTTAGTTTCTGTAAAATGATCAAAGCTGCTTCATATCTGGACAATCCAGAATGCTTGTTTATTGCGACAAATACAGATGAACGTTTTCCTATGCCTGGCATGGTGATACCCGGTTCGGGTAGTTTTGTGCGCGCGGTGCAGACATGTGCAGAGCGTGAACCCTTCGTGATTGGGAAACCCAATCCCAGTATTTGCGAATGGTTGATAAATGAAGGTACTATCGATCCGGCACGTACGTTAATGATTGGTGATCGGTAAGTGTCCCTATGGTCATAGGGTTATTAGTAGGAAATTGTTTAACTGTTTTCTTATTTTAGCTGCAACACTGACATCTTGCTTGGCTTCAATTGTGGTTTCCAAACGCTGCTAGTCGGCACGGGCATACACAAGTTAAACGATGTTGAGGCGTGGAAGAATTCAGATGATCCTGAACAAAAGAAACTCATACCCGATGTGTTTCTGCCCAAATTGGGTGATTTGCTGCCATTTATGTAGTGTTAGTTATACGCAGGTAGTGCAGGAACGACAGAAATAGGATCTAAAGCTGCGGCACACAAAGTTGCTACTAATACTTATACTTTGCTATTAGTTTGGTATCGAAATTAGTTAATCTTTATATAAAAAAAATATATTTTAACTATTGTACATTTACATGCTTATAAACTTTAATATGTACATTTGTACGTACATATATCAGCGTATTCTAATAATTTATATTTGTAAATTAATGTTTTGCATTGCTGTCCTACAATACAATGTTCTTTTGTACAAATAGTGTTATGGAAGATCAACTACAAAAAAAGGAAAAATTAAATAAATAACAAAAATAAATTACAAAAACTATTGTAAAAAAATGCAAAATAACAAATAGTTATAAAGGGGTTATTTCCTGGTAAGCAATTCGGCCTTATCGCAAATCAGTTCAAATAGTGTGCAAAGGGCATCGCAAAACCAGACTGTTTGCACTCTATATATTACCTCCCATTAAAGTTTGCATGGTCAGAATAGTTTCAGACCTACAACGCGGCGACAATGTCAGATGCAGCGCTAGCAATTAGAAAATCAGTAAACGAGAAGCATGTAGATAGCGGCAAACGCTATTATTTATATAAGTGCATCAGTGATAAAAGCACGTGCCATCCGATCGAAAATATGTACAAAGGAATTTGCGCAAATCTGCTTGAGCAACCAAAAGAAACTGTCCAGCAATGGTTGAACAGCTTTGATACGATCATCAGTGATTGTGATGGTAAGGATATTATTGAATACGTACTAGTTTCTTAATCCGTTTAAATAATTGTCCATCTAGCTACTAACACCTCATGTTCTCTCTCCCTCCCTACAGGTGTTATTTGGCTCGGCGATACTGTCATCGAAGGCGCTGTGGACACTATGCGCTACCTAAAGCAGTCGGGGAAGAAGATT